TTGTTCTCCGACGACGCAACGTGGCCGGCTTCTCTCGGGAACCTCCTCGCGGCGGATGTTCACCGGCTACCTGCGCGGTGACGCACAGGTGACGCGCGCAGGTGACCCGCCGGTAAACAAGTCGATCGGGACACAGAACGAGTCGCGGTAGCGGTCGTTCCGAGGGACCATCTCGGGTTCGCGCGGACCATTTTTGAGTGTACCTGTCGCCGAGCGACAAGCGATTCTCGCAGGGGTTTCTGTCGAGTCTGAATTCTTGAATGGATCGTCGAGCGATCTCCGGCCGTCAGTCTCTTTCTACTTCTCTTTCCTTCGGCGTGTTTCCGTTTCTCTCTGCCAGTACCGAGACGCTACGAAGATATAATTGCAGATCCTCGAGATGAATAGACGTACAACGGCGAACGTTCGAAGACCACGGAGGAACAGCGGTGAATTTTCTCGCGGCCGGAGCGGTTTCGCGATATACCAGAATCGAATTACACGGTCGAATAGATTGCCGGTTGCCGGGTTTCGATTTTTCTATTTCTTTTTTCTCTTTCTCGCTGGCCAGGATCGATCGGCGATTGCATGCGTTCTCGAAATCCGCGACGATTAGCATACACGGCCGCGGTTAGAGTGAATGGAAGCCCCTATAGCGAATATAATTGGTCTCGGTTTATGGTATCCGCTAATGGACGTCGCCCCGAATGCAGCGCGTTCCTTTTCTACCCCCACCCTCCGCGAGTTTATATAACGCGGCGTCGAGGAACGACAGGCATTTGGAGAACATTCTCGAATGGTCCAACGCAAGTCCCTTGCGCACCGGCCCACTCTGTCCTCCTCTTTCGCTCGATTCCCCTGTCTCTCTTTCCCTCTATCGCTCCCTATATCTCCGTTTCTCCGGTCAGCGGAGACACGTGCTAATCGCTCGGCCCACGTTAGCTTTCCCGGTCTCGAGCCAAGGATCTTTCCCGCAACCGAAAATCGCCACTGATTCTCACTCCCGAATCACTGAACGGAGAGCTTAGTCTCCAGTTTGCTTGGACCGGCGAACGAATCATCCCGAGAATCGAGGATCCTTTAACGCGAATCACCTCGAATCCACCTATAACACGGTGATGCCGCGTCTGATTCTCTTCTGACAAGTCCTTACTCCCTTTTCTTCAGGGAGCAGGATGGGTGAAGAACTTTCACTGGTGTTCTTTGATGTTATTTCACTGTTGAAAAACACTGAACGATCACAAGGCGGGCCGATGATCGATCGGGTCCGCAGCGTGCCCGGGCCGACCGCGAATACGTGGTGCCCCGTGATGGGACCACGGCTCGTTTATTCCCTGGTGATCATCGGAGCCGCGGCGAAGGTGGACTCTCTTTTCTCTCTCTCCCGTTCCTGGCTCGCTCTCGTCGAGTCCTCCGTCTCCGGAGGCATCGTCCACTGACGCGAGGCGAGGGAGTACAGGTACTTGAAATACAAACGGACCCACGGAGGTGGGTCCAATCTGATGCAGGGTTCCCTTTGAGAATCAGGTTAGACCGGCCGAACCTGCTCCTCTGGCTTCTCGTCTCCGGTCCGCGGTTGTATACCGGCCTGGTGTACCTACTCCTTCTCCCCGGTCGCCCCAATCTCCTTCTTCCGCGTAGTAGGTAGGCTACCTACCTACTTCCCGCCACCATGTTCGGCTTCTCTCTTTCTCTCCCTTTCTCTCCCTTTCTCTTCTCTCTTCCTCTTTCTCTCTCCTGCTCGCCGCGTCCACTGTGCGATACACCTAGGGCCGGTTCATCTCGCGCCTCTTGAGCAGTCTCCCGCTTCCCCCTTTTTCTTCAGGGAAACCAAGGAAAGGAGGATGCGACTCGACGATCCTTGAACGAGTCCCCGAAATTGGAAGGGATGCTCTGCCTCTTCTCGATGAAACCGTTCCCCAGACGGTCCCGAGCGCGGCACGCTCGCTCTCGATGGTCCGGCTTCCTCGTTACGTCTATTATTACACCTGTCTATCCGTCAGTCGGCGGCGGTCGCGGGCTGAATTCCAGTTTTACGCGGCTGCCCTCCTTCGAGCGCGCGGCGCGCGCGCTGTGTGCCTCGGTAGTAGGAGGAGATGAACGAGCCGGCCGAGGAGAAGAAGAGGGAACCAACTGGTTTCGCTAACTATCCACCTGGACGGCGGCCGCGGCCGCCGCCGCTGAAGATGTAGAATTCGTGGTGTCCGACTGGTTTGGCCAACATCCGAACGGATTCCCTGGCCGGACAAACCGGCCACGTGATAACTGAATCAACCGTCGAACCTGCTATTCAACCTCTCCTTCGGCGTTGTCCGAGCACGACGGAGCTGCCGCCGTCGCAGCCACCGCGCGTACACATCCGTGGCGAGCGCAAACAACACGCCGCCCTCTTTCCCCCGATGGCCTTCCTGATTCCGTCGCGATCTCGTTCTTCCGGACGGGACGTCAACCTGGCTTGCCTGGCAAAAATGCGGTTCCCAGCTTCCTGTTGAGCCCGATTTATTCTCCTTCTTCCTCTTCTTCTTCATCTTCTTCTTCTTCTTCTTCTTCTTCTTCTTCTTCTTCTTCTTCTTCTTCTTCTTCTTCTGCCTCGATTAGCAGCCGGTTCAACGGCTTCCTTCCTCTCTTGCCCACGGACGGCGGCGGGCCACCGGGTCTGCATCTCCATGGTGTTTAGGGAAGAAAGGGACCCGCCGAATGGAACGTGTTTCTGTTTCAACTTTTCACTCTCGGTACACTCGGCCGTTCGCCCGTCTCTCCGTTCGTCCGACCGTCTGACTGTCTGTCTGTCTATCTCTTCGACGCCGGTTTATTACACCTGTCTATCAGAGCCGCGACCGCGAAACCGTTTCCAGTTTGACGTGCTTCGCAGCCAGTTTGAAATGAATGGAACGGCGAACCCGGCTCTGGTCCCACTGATTGCACGTTGCGCAATCGGAACGATACACGCGCGTCGCCTCCGAGATCAGCCGCAACGCTTTGCTTCTTGCGTTTCGTTCTCGCTGGTTTCATGATTTTTTCTCGTCAGAAAATCGATGATCGATTCGACTGTTCGTTCTTGTGTTTCGTAGGTTCTCGCTCTCGCAGTGATTACCCTGTGATTTTTCGTCGAAAGATTTATCTGATGCTGCGCTTCTTTTTGTTTGTTCTTTCTTTTCTTTGTTTTTATGTTTCGCAGGTTCTCGGTCGACCCCTGCTCCTCCGTTTCCCGTTAATGACGTGCCATACAGCAGCCTGTGATACGCTACCCCGTGACTAGAGTCATTCCGCTCATGTAAACGTAGTTACGGTCAAGTTTAGTCGACCGCTTAGGGAAACCCACCACCGGGAACCGCCGTTGAAGACGTTGCAGGAGACGTCGCCGGGGTCCCGGAGATTCGACGCCAGCTTCGCTGCATCGTGACAAGGAGACCGTGTACAGGACGCCACGATACGGCGAGGAAAGAGAAGCGGAAGACAGCGCAGGAGAATGTCGACTTGCACCGACGAGGCCGACAACGCACCCCTGCACATGCAGGAGGCTCTGTCCCCGGTTAGTCAAGTTTCACATTTTTCTTTTCCTTTTTTTCCCTCGTTTTCTTTGTTTCTTCCTTTCTGCTTTCTTTCTTTCCCTCCGCTTTTCGTCCCCGCGGATTTTTCGTCGCTCGCATCGGTATTTAATCAGTATCGCGACTGAACTTTATTGGATGTTCAAATTAATAATAGTAATAATAATTCGCCTTTATTGCGCGCACAATCATTAAAACTATAAAAGCAATAATAATTACAGTTATTTACTATCGTGTAAGATAATGAGAATAATGACCGTGCGTACGGGCCTTTATGCCCTTAATTATGTAATTCTTATTTTTTAGTGGCAATCTTATTCTAGATACTTGAGGACTATCGAAATAATGCATGGGTTGTTTTTTTATGGTAGCGTTTTAAATTACATTAAATTAAAATAAGTTAAGTTAAGTTAAATTAAATTAAATTGAACTGCACTAAAGTAAATTAAATTAAGGAAATTCTAAACATGTTTGGTTTATGGTGGCATTTTAATGAAACCGCCGGTTTAAAGAACCCACACAGGACGTGACGAGTTACGCAACGTCGTTATTAAATCTGACCCTCAATATTTTTTATATTAATATTTAGTGAAAGGAAAGAGGTGGACTGATTATTTAAATTATAGCCCAGAGCGAAGGTTTAGTGCGTCGCGTTATATTTCAAGTCTTCTGAGAAATCAAGAATTTATACTTAGCGTCGTGACGTGAATTTTTTATGTAGACTTTTTTCGATGCAGTTCTAAATACTAGCCTTCAATGAGACAGATATAAATTTTTATTAAGTCGCAGACATAGCAACTTTGTCAACAATAATGCAAAGTATCCCATTGTAATTTGGGGAACTGTAAACCGATTCTCCAAATTTTTCCATGATTCAAGATAAAAATAACGCCTCCATCAAAATTGAAAATTTTACATTCGAATAATTAATTCAACAATCATCTTTAACGATATCAAAACTTACCAACACAAATATATCTGAGAAGAAATATAAAGTAACTTCTGTCCATTCACACAAGACCGAGCACACAACAAAATAAGATACACTGTATCTTTCGCTGTTTACAAAAGAAAGCTCCACAGAGCTAAAAAAGAAAAACGGCGGAACGGGGTGAATCAGAAACGCAGGAGCGATACAAAAAGCGTCCTTCAAGAGTCCGCAGTAAAAAAATGACTACAGCCGTACAGCGAGGTCGAGGCTCCTCCTAGCGTCCTCAAAATATTCATAATCAGCTGAGAAAGGCTTACTCACACCCCGTGACGCACGGTTTCGTGGCGGAATCACCGCTTCCCCGGTTGTAGCGCGACCGCAGAGGAATCATTGGATGGTGGACAACAGCGTGACGCACGCGAACGAGCGAGCCCCGGGTCGAATTCGGCTACGTAACTGAAAATGAGCGGCGATCGAGCAGCAAATTGACCGAACTGGAATGGACAGAGAAGGAAATGCAGCCGAGAAAGATAGTTCCCGAACGCCGGCTGAGGGAATTGCCGAGCGGCAGGGGAGAGACGAGCATCTTTGTTCAGCGGAGAGCCGAGTTTTGCACTCGCGGGCCGGAAGATTGACAGCCGATCCTCAATCTTTCGGTCTCCGCGCAGACTCGTCCATCACTCGTCGAACCTTGGCGTCTCAGGGTCGGTCCCAGAAGTTCTCGGCGCACGGATGAACAACACAACAACAACCGGCAATAATCTTACCGGGTCCGCCATTCTCGTTATTTCGCGCAACGGGTGGTACCCGTGGTCGGGGGCGGAGGGAACCGTTGCCGCGACGGGGGCGAGAAAGAAAGAGAAAGGGAGGAAGGTCAACCGATGACCCGCACGAAACGCCGGCCATGAGGTATGATTGCATTCCGTGAATTGTCGAAATCGAATGGGGCGTGGACGCAAGACCTCCGCGTCGTTAATCACGAGCCCCTCGATGCGCAGCTCCCTCCCGCCCCTTGACCGACCGCCTCCGTATGCTCCGCGGCAAAAAAAATCCCCGGGACTCCGCCTGACACGGTATTTATATTCATCCGAAATCTACTCTAAGCGCATTAAACGCGGTTCCAACCGGGCCGGCCGAATTTCTGCCGGAATTTACAGCTTCCACGGAGATGGAATCTGGAATTTAAGGCTTCCGTTTCGATTCCCGCTTAATGGAGCTTCCCCGGCCGCGCCGGACGCCTCCAGCGTCCCCCATTTTTTGATGGCCTCGCTCGCTCGCTTCCACGGACGTTGAAATTAATTTGCTCGTGCGTAGTACACGGGAGACTTTCTTGACTGGTTATCTTGTTTTGTTCGGAACATCAGTAATATCGCTGATCCTGCTTTTTTCACGTTTCATTCGGATTTTTGTTTAGGAAAATAAAGTCAAGAACCTTTATCTTAACCGATGAGCTTGATAAGCTTATTGAAGCGGCGGATTAATAAAGTATTGTTGCCAAATCATGAAAATATGACTCTTCAGAAGAAAACGTGAGCAGAAATTAACGACTGCAGCGTGTTCCACGCGTGTTAAGAGAATTTATTAACGGTTAAAGATAGAATCGAAGGTTATAAGACAACCACACTTTCGCGTGCGTTAATCGATTAAGCGACCGATTCACCTTCTATGAGGGAAATATCGAACTTTTTACAAGTGTACGGTGTTTATCGTTATTCTCGGTCAGTGTGCGGTTTCCGTGGTCGATTTTCGGTGTCCCGAAACGAATTCCGATACTCTATCCAGCCGGACGACACACGCATTCCCGTCCGACGGCCACTCCTCGGCCGGGAAGCCTGAAAAGATTTTCACTGTCACCTGGCCGCAGGTTTTTAACCTGACAATGGTATACCTGCCGCTTAAAAAGTGAAACTCAGCCGGACGAAAGCCCGTTATTTGCGTGGCGTTGCTCCACAATGAGAATGTCTCCGCGTGCATAAGCGTCTCCCCTAAGAATCTTACGGAGGCCTCCGGCCATTACGGCCAAATCCCCGTGGAATTATTACAGTTGATTTCGTTGGCCGCTGCCACCAAGCTGGCCGGCGATCCCAACGATGATATAATTTATGGTAATGCGATTGCCTTCACGTCGTTGCGTTCGCCGATCGACGTGACCATCAAGCTCGTCTTTATTATTCCCGCGAATCAGCTGTAATTCACTTCGCGGAATGTTCGTGAATCCAATCCGGAATAAACAAACGCAATTTCGCACTGATGCGCGGTTTTCGTGGTTATAATAAGTTTGTCAAATACCGGTGCTTCGACGTCGATTGTAATTCAGTTTACGTTCCCGCGTTGATCCTTCGCGTCGTCCGACGTTAATCTCTAGGCAAACGATTAAAGAAATTACGCTGGTCGTTTGTTGTTCATGGATTAAATAACAATTCGCGCGTGATTAATTCTGCGTTCGTAACGTGAACGAAATCGAGATCGTCAGGAACCTGTGAGGTTGATTGCGACAGATTTTTTTATACTTTTCTTTTATTCGGACACGTTAAATCAGTTATTAATGAGTTTCGTTTGTCGGATTTAACAGATTTATTTGAAACGTGAACCGAGTGCGTTCGAATAGCACGAGTTTAGAGGATAGATATTTCGTTAATCAGTATTCATCGGCTACTCTCGAGTTGGTAATTGTAAAATACAGCGCAGCATAATTTTGAATAGGAAATTAACGTTAAACAAGATTAAGCGCGTAAGAGTTATGCACTTGTCTTATGCGCGCGAAGTTTATGTATTCCTAATCATCGTTCGATTTATATACTTCTTGAAAATGCTTACATGTTTTTAATAGCTCCTTTGTATTTGAAATATTGATTCATTTGAAAGTATAATCGTTGCTTGACGAAAATGAGCTGAGTATACAAAATCCGACAGAACGTCTGTGCTTCTGGATAACAAGAAACATTTGATACACTCACAAAATTATTTTTCGAGCAACATTTAAAAAAAAAGTGGAACTCCTAAATTTGAACTAATTCAATTTCGAACTTCTAACCTGATTTCTCCACCCCAAGGATGCAACAAAACGACATTTATCAGTGTCCAACATAAACCCTAATTCTCCTTATCGAATCCATTAAACAGCAACGCAAAGATACTATTGGTGAATCGTCTGTTGCAACAGAGTTCCCAATCAAATTTAACTTTCCTCAAATTCACACTTTTCAAAAATCAATTTCCGCGTTACGAACCGTTAATGGCACGTTAGTGTTTGAACTCTAAGAATTCTATCGATAATCAACATAACGATATATTTCGGAGAATATGCAGGACGAGCGATGCTTTCTTCGCGGCGAAGAATGGCAATAACATCCTATCGCGGCACGGCAGAATTTTCCATCGGGCAAGAATCCCCATCGAACGCCGGCATTCTTTCGTCCGCGTGAAGCGAACGGTACGTTAGCCGTCCCATTCGTCCCACCATGGCCGTTCTCGGTGGGCAAGCCTTCTCGGACAAGGGGGAAAAGAAAGACTGGAGGAAGACGATTTTGCTGTGTACGATGACTCGCCGGATTTCTCGTACCTGATACACACCGCTCTCTCGCCGGTCGAACGCTCGGTCGGCGATCGTGCTATTCATTATTGGAGTAACAGGCAGAGATTACTTAATAGAATCCGGACAACTCCGAACTTTGTTTCTTTATTAAACCTTCTTTCTTAAGTTCCCCCTTTTTCCGTCTCTTTTTCATTTTCGCTCACCGTCGGTACAACCAGCTGCCGGCAGTCTTTCGGAATTTTCGATCGATTCAACGACCGCGCCCACCGATCGCACGGTCTCGCCGATCTTCGAATTAAAGCGCTTTTAATTGAGACAAGTCCCCATCAATTTGATTGTTGCGGGCACGGAAGGAAATCGGCGTGAAGAATTCGTTTCGGTGAGACTTATTTTCTGAGAACACTCCGGTGGCTTTTAATAATACGAATGAAATTGTTTCTTGCGTTGCGAGAAATCGTGTTCACCGTTGTCGGTGTTGTTATTTTCTAGACTGGTTTCATGATTGTTAGGTCGCTCGA